TGAGTTGATGGGTGCAGCACACCAACATGGCACAAGTATACATATGTAACAAACCTGCACGTTATGCACATGTACCCTACAACTTAAAGTATAATAATAATAAATAAATTTTAAAAAAAAGAGAGTGAATAAAATATGCAAAGTGTTGAAAGGAAAAACTCTATACTTCTATATCCAGTGATACTATCCTTAATAATTGAAGGTAAAATAAATATTTTTTCAGACAAATGATGTTCTGGGAATTCATTACCAGAAGCCCTAATAACTGCAATAAATGTTAAAAGAGGAGGGAATATTTTTAAAAATGTTAAAAGAAGGAAAATGATATAAGTCAGAAATGTGGATCCCTATATAATAAGAGGGAGTATCAAAAAAGGTAAAATAACATGCTTATTTTTCTTATTCTTAATTGATCTAATAGCTATTCAAAGTAATAATGTATTGGATAATTATAGCAAATGGATACATGATATGAATGACAGCAAGAAGAGTTGAGAATACGGTTATTAGTTATCTGCACTACCTGTAAAGCAGTACAGTGTTACTTCAAAGTGGACTTATATTTGTTGTAAATGTATATTTTAAACTCCAGGGAAACCACTAATATTTAAAAGTAAACATAATTATTTATATAATTATATACTAACAAAGAAGATAAAATGAAAGTAATAAAATCTCAATTAAAACTAGAGAAAGCAGAAAAACAGGAAAAGAACAAAAGTGCTATGAATAAAAAACAGCTCCAAACGTGGTAGATAATAATCCAGTTATATCACAAATCACTTCAAATGTGAATGGTCTAAATATATCAGTAAAATGACAAGGATTATAAGCATAGATAAAAACCAATATCTGACTATATGTTGCCTAGAAGAAACCCACTTTAAACATAAAAGCACTATGGAAATAATCTTTTCAACACCTGGGAACTTGTGACCTGGGAACCTGGGAAATGTACCTCTCACAGTGTGATGCTGCTGAACAGCCCGTCTGATTGGGCATCTCCTTTGGCAGAGCTACAGTACAGAATTTCCAGGGCTGGGGATGGTAGCCCCACCCCCGACTTTGGTTCTGGCTGACCTCAGGGATATGTCTGCCTTCAGGCATTTATGATGTTTCCCATGGGTTGAAGTAGGGACAGGTCTCCTGCCAGGGAACCCAAGATGGTGGGGAAGCTGATTGTTCACCTTGATCTTTTTCCATTGTAAAAACCACGAGTTGGGAGAATTTTTTTTTTTTACCCTTGGTACCAGGCAGATTGAGTAAGGGGTCAAAGAGAAGTGTCGTGTGTTGAAACAACTGGATACCCAGATACAAAATAATGATTTCAGACCCATCAATTCATTATATCATAGTCCTAAATGAAGGATGTAAAATTAAAACTTCTATAGGATAATATGGGAGGAAATTTAAGTGATCTTGGGTTTGTTGATGAGTTTTTAGATACAATACCACAGTGTGATTCTTGAAAAAAATTGATAAGTTGGACTTCATTAAAATTATAAACAAGTGCTTTGCAAAAGACATTGTTAACAGAACGAAAAGACAAGCTGCAGCCGCAGACCAGGAGAAAATATTTGCCAAACAGATATCTGATAATCCCAATATATAAAATAATTTTAGAAATTCAACAGAAAGGAAATGGACAACTCAATTTAAAAAATGGGCAGAAGATCTGAACACCTCATAAAAGAAGATATGAAGATGGCAAAAAGCATATGAGTATATGCTTAACATGATGTATAAGAAAATTGTAAATTGAAACAATGAAATATGTGTACTTGTCTCCTTAGGCTTCTCCCTTGACAGAGTCCATTCCTCAGACATTTTTGGTGTTGTTTTGATGACCTTGACAGTTGTCGGGGGTGCTGGTCAGAAATTTTGTAGGATATCCCTCAACTCATGCACCTATAAATATGGCTAAAATTCAAAAAGCTCACACCAAATGCTGGTGAAAATAACAGACAACAGGAAGAACTCATTGCTAGTGGGAATCTAAAACAGTACAGTCACTTCTGAATACGGAAAATGAATAATTAAGAAAATAGATGGCAATTGGGGGCCAGGTTTCTCACAGTTGGAGTGAGAATTTTCAGATAAGAAAGGGGACGAGGCTAGGAAGATCCATGTAGTAATAAATTATAGTTGGAGACATTAGTATGAATTCTAGCTTAATATAGATATAGGCCATTACTAGAAAACACACATATATGCCACACACACAGGATAGTATACACATATATACTTCCTTTGCCAGTTAAGAGGGCTTAAAGGAAATGATACCCCAGGAGTAATGGCCATACCCAATTCCCAGTTCTTGGTTTCTAATACCATTCTTCAATAAAATGAAATGGGACTCCTTGAAGAAATTGTTAATTCTAGGACTGGGGCAGGAAATATACAAGATGAGCCTGGAGTATCCTGTAGTGTCAGAAAGTAAGGAAGTATGCAAAACCAAAACAAAACAAAACAAAACAAATTGAACATACATACATAAAATAAAATTTAAAAACCCATATTGATGGAAGTATATTTTAAAGAACACAGGAGCCAATGAAAGAGCTCACAATGGCTAAAGTGGAACAATTTGAACAAATAAATAAATAAAGTACTATTGGGGTGTAGCCCATAGTACAAAATAACTAGTCATGAATCCTTACTAATATAAATAAATAGGGTGGGGACAAATCTGTACTGAAAATTCCAAATAACTTATGAACTTACGTAGACTCTCCATCCTCAGTGATGGAAACTTTACACTCCACTTTTTAATGGTGAGCTTTGCATAGTGACTTCTTTCCAGAGTACAGTATAGAAGGGGGCATTGTGGGAGGGTGAGAAAAGCTTTACAGTGGAGAAACCTGACACACATTGTCTCAGCTAAGTGATCAAGTTTAACAGCAACTGTGATGAGTCATGTCTGATATACATATACTTTATGTGATGTAAGAGTGAATAACACTTTACCTCTGTGGTCTTCCTCCGAAAAACCCATACCCCAATCTAATCATGAGAAAAACATCAGACAAATATAATACAAATTGAGGGATATCCTACAAAATTTCTGACCAGCACCCCTCACAACTGTCAAGGTCATCAAAACAACACCAAAAATGTCTGAGGAATGGACTCTGTCAAGGGAGAAGCCTAAGGAGCCAAGTACACACAACATGATATGCTGGATGGGATATTGAAAGAGCGAAAACATATTAGGTGAAACTAAGGACATCTGAATAAACCAGGAACTTCAGCTAATAATATCGTATTGAGTCGTGATAGCTTGTAGCAAATGTACCCTGCTCATGTAAAATATTAATAATAGGGGAAACTGTGTGTGAAATATATGAGAACTCTAGTATTTTCTTAACTTTTCTACAAATCTGATGCTGTCCTAAAAAATGTCTATTTTTAAAAAATCAACTAAGAAAATGTGACACACCCTGGGTGCTTCTGATTACTGTGCCTTCTGTCCCCAGTCTCCCTGCCCAGTCCTACCCAACCCTGCTGTTAGGAGGACTTGAGCCTGCCTTCTCATGGTCTAAGTTACGAGAACCACTGAAAAGTGCTAACCTAAGGAGGGATGTGGTTAGATTAGAATTTTAAGTGAACACCCTGTCCTCTGGGTGATGAGTGGATGGCAGGGTTTGGGGAGATAGAGAGCAAGAAAGACCAGCTGGAAGGGTGTTGCAACAGTTCAGGTGAGAAAATGACTTTACGACTTGACTTGATCCTTAATGGGGGTAGGGAAGAGGAGGAAGAATGAGGAATGATTGTGAATACACACATGGCAATGGCAGTTTTCTTAACTCAATGAGAGAATACCTAAGGAGGAAACACGGTGAGTGTTGCTGGGGTTGGGTGGGGAGGAAGGAATGCTAAGTGCCATGCTATGCAGATCGATTAAACTTGAGCGTCTCTGGACACTTCAGTAGGGAAGTCCCTGATATATCCTCGTGTGCCTGCAGTAAAATAGCTTCGAATAGCTTGATACAGCGTGCCTAAAATGCGGTGGTTAAATAGTTAAAAGTGAGCAATTTGAAGAATTAAAGGCAGTGCTTTTCCCAGGAAAGGAGAGTCCCAGGTCCTGATATGATTGATGGCAGTAAAGGCTATGGAAATGTCAGGGAGCCAGGTAACAGGAGGGTGACACCTGCAGTGACTGGGTCTGTGTTTCTCCAGCTTAGTCAGTAGTTTTGACTTCCATGACTGCTGCTGGCCCAACCTTTACTTCCTTTAATAACGCTGTCACTTTCCCTCAGAGATGATCTGAAACACCTCTTCTCCCCACCTTGCCCAATTCTACTTCTATTGCTTTTCTAAAGTCTTCCTCAGTCAAGCAGGCAGACCATAAGACTTTTGGAAATCATGAGATTTTCTAAGAGAGAAAACCCAAGCAGAAGAGCCTGGAAATGTTTCCAGGGAAGAGACTAGAACCCAGAAGGAGCCCCCAAGCTTTCCTAGCATCTTCCCAGTCCCTTTCCTGAGAGAAGCTGAGTTGGGAGCAGAAGTGTACAGTGGGCTCTGCCAGGGGTTGGGTGTGGTGTTGTGGTGGAAGGTAGTGTTGGACTGAGATGCAACCAGAACAACGTATCCCCTTTTCATGGCTGGCAAGTGTTGTTTTCAAGTGCATTAAGTGAAGCTGATTTTGTTTTTGTTTGATTTGGGTTTTGTTTCTTTTTTAGGAACTGTTGGATCTATTGAGTGGTTTGGGGATCAAAATTTTAAAAGGGTCAAGATATCTGTCCTCCTTTGAGAATGGGAATGGGCCATGGGACTCTTGCAGCTATTGACCCATACACAGGTTTTTATGTGGTGAGAGAGAAGAAAAGGCTAAAGAGAATGTAGGATCCCAAGACTCCCAGGATTTATTATGAATCATTGTACACACTCACTGATTCAGCTTCAACACTGGGGAAGTAAGGATTCCTGTAGTAACAATAGTCCCTCAAGTAGAGGCTCTGCTCACCTGAGGTTGGGATTGGGCTCATTGGGGGTGGCACTGGACAATAATCACCTCTCTCCCACCCCCACCCCATTAAAGAGACATGTAGAGGGACAGAGTCAAGTTCACAGATGAGACGGGCCACCTAGGGGACCCGAAATAAGTGGGGCCAGTGGCTCTCTCTTCCCTTGTAGGAGACGATCTAAGGGCCTCTGGACTGCAGGTAGTTATTTATGTTTGAGTGGCCATTGCCCCTCCTGCTTCTGCTGCTGCTGCTGCTCTACAGGAAGAAATACTTCTCCCTTTGTGGGCAGGGCTGGTTGGATGTCTTGGATCTGGCCTGGAGCTGGGGCAAATATAGGCTGCTGCAGCTGCCCCTCCAGATGTTTTAGTTGTCCCTCCTGCTGCTCTGGGTGCTCTAGCTGCTTTTCCTGTTGCTCCAGGTGCTTTGGCTGTCCCACCTGCTGCTCTGGGAGCTCCAGCTGTGCCTCCTGCTTCTCCAGGTGCTTTAGCTGCCCCTCTTGCTGCTCCGGGAGCTCCAGTTGCCCCTCCTGCTCCAGATGCTTCAACTGCCCCTTCTGCTCCTCTAAGTGCTTCAGCTGCTCCTCCTGCTGCTCCAGGTGCTCCAGCTGCCCCTCCTGCTGCTCCAGGTGCTTCAGCAGCCCCTCCTGCTGCTCCAAGTGCTTTGGCTGCTCCTCCTGCTCTTCCAGGTGCTCCAACTGCCCCTTCTGCTGCTCCAGCTGCCCCTTCTGCTGCTCCAGATGCTCCAGCTGCTCCTCCTGCTGCTCCACGTGCTTCAGCTGTCCCACCTGCTGCTCCACGTGCTTCAGCTGCCCCACCTGCTGCTCTGGGAGCTCCAGCTGCACCTCCTGGTGCTCCAGATGCTTCAGCTGCCCCTCCTGCTGCTCCAGGTGCTTTGACTGCTCCTCCTGCTCTTCCAGGTGCTCCAGCTGCCCCTTCTGCTGCTCCAGCTGCCCCTTCTGCTGCTCCAGATGCTCCAGCTGCTCCTCCTGCTGCTCCAGGTGCTTCAACTGCCCCACCTGCTGCTCTGGAACCTCCAGCTGCTCCTCCTCATGCTCCAGATGCTTCAGCTGTCCCTCCTGCTGCTCTGGGAGCTCCAGCTGCCCCTCCTGCTGCTCCAGGTGTTTCAGGTGCCCCTGCTGCTGCTCTGGGAGCTCCAACAGTCGCTCTTTCTTTGTTCCCAGTTGCTCATCTCTCTTGACTATCTCTTGATCCAGTTGCTGGTCTACGAGCTTCTTCTCTTCTTCCAGCTGTTCCTTTAGCTGCTGATCCCTTTGTGCTTTCTCCTGCTTAAGCTGCTGCTCTGGGTTTTCTGTTTTCTGATGTTCCTCATGCTGTTCCCAGTGCTGTTGCTGCAGCTCCTGCTTCTGTGGCTCCTGCTGCTGCTGCTCACATTCTTGCTCAGGCACTCCCTTTACAATAGTCACGTGCTTTTCCTCTTGCTTTAATGGGACCTCCACTGGGAGCTCGACAGACACCTTCTGGCATGGGGGAGGCAGTGGAGTTGGCTGCTTCATTTGCTCCTGCTGGGTATTGACTGGAGGAGGAACAGTCTTGAGGAGCTCCTGACTGAGGGCAGGGGAGAGGGTCACTGGCAGTGTGTGTTGCTGGGACATCTTAGAAGCTGTTGTCAACCTGAAAGACAGAAGAGGTCTGATGCACAGGCTGAAGGCAAAGGAAGTAGATGAAACTTTGGAAATCTGCAGAAGTACATGATTTTTTAGCATCACCTCTTCTCTTGGGCAGGGTACTGTCCTACGACCTCTGGACTATCGTTTCTCAAAAGCAGCAGAGAGTGAAGGGTGGAAATAGGGAGGAGCAGGGAAATGTCCTCCTAGGAGTCTCCTTGTTCCCAGGTGAGAGCCAACAAGGAGATGTCTCTGCAGGGCTGTTCTGCAAGGGTAGGCCAGGTGCCAGCTCACTGTCTGCTCTTGTCTAGTCCTTGTGTCCACCCTCATCGCTCCACTGACCAAGGAACAGAGATGTGTTCTGGGATTATGTCACAGTGAGGAGTAAGACCTTAGGGAACGAAACGTCTCTTGGAGAACACCAAATCCTAGAAAACCAATAAGCTGTGCCAGAGAGGATCCAAGAGGTCATGGTGTGAGCTCCAGACTGGAGACACATGAAATACTCTGGACCTACATCTCCCATTGGAATGCTGTGTGTTTCTGGGCAAGTCACTTAGTCTCCTGGGACTTGGATTTCCCCTATGTAAAGCCAGCAGGTTGGCCTATTCAACCCCAGGGCTCCTTTCTCTCCTGACCTTCTGAAGTTTAGCTGCAGTCCTGGTGTCTGGGGTGGGGCTTGGGGGAGCTGGGAGGTTGCTGAGAGTTGGAGCTTGTTCTTCCAAGACTTATACTTCTAAGTTGAGTTTTCCTGCCCCAGCTCTGCCTAGGTTTCTCCAAATAGAAAGGTTTCCATATCCTGCCATCCATTCTGTGCAGCATAGCCAAAAGGTAGAAGCTTTTTCCTGAACTTCTCCCTCCATAAAGAAGGCAAAATGATGGTCAGTCAAAAACCCAAGCGATTTAGGAAAGAAATTGACTGCTACTCCCCTCCTCCCTTCCATATTTCTCTCACACACAACTCCAAAACTATGGTTACAAGAAAAGATGGGACATAGGATGATTACTCTCTGTTCTGCACTTTTGTGCCAAGGCACTTTTCTCTCAGTACGCTGACCTGAGACCCCCTAGAATGAAAGTCCAGCTGAATCCAGCCCCAGATCAATTCCCACCCCCACCCAGGCTGCCCACTCCCACGTTGTATGCTGTTGGAGGTCCCAAGTCCCAACCCTGGTTCTACCATCTGACACTTACCAGACTCACAGTAAGGCTGAGGCAGAGGCTTTGGTGGAGTGCTGAGCTGAGCAGGAGTCAGGGCACTTTTTATATCATTCCCCAGCCTGGCCTCTCTCCAGGTTGAAGGTGATGGACAGGTTTCACCACTCTAGTTGGTCAACTTCCTCTAGCCCCTTCCTGACTCACCACAGGCATCTTAAGCAGCAAACCCTTCAGGGCCCCATTTCCCAGGGACACACAACTGGCCAGAGGATTCTGGGAGCTCAACTATTCCTGTGATGCTTTTATGACCTGGGCGCAGGGAGCTGAGTGAGGCATCCTACTGTTTTGTGACCTTAGTCAAACTTCTGCTCCAAATCTCAATTTTTCCACTTTCACAATGAGTTTGTTCTCATTATTAGGCTGAAAGATTCACTTTTGAGGGCATGAAATGGAAAGTTATGTGTCTTTCAGGAATGTCCAGGCTGGGTCATATGCTTTGAAGATAGAAAGAGTCACTTCCCATGAAGGGGTGGTATTTCTGGGGTGTTCTCTTGAGCCACAAGCCCATCCTCTCTCAGAATATATTTTTAACTCAATTCTGTGTGGAAATAAACTCTGTCTTTGGTGGGGGAGTCTGACTTTAGGCCAAGTAGAGTCAAGTAGAAGACTTCTAGGAGTCCTCTGCTGCTGCCACTTGCTGCCCTACCTCCATGCCCGAGGCTGCAATTAGAGAAGTTCTCAGGAATGCCATGCTCACAAGAACTCCAAAGCATGGCCCACTCTAGGCAAGGAACAGGACTGAATAGGCACAATATAAAAATAGGTATTGTTTTTATAATGACAAACCAAACAACTTTCTTAAGTACATTTTTAAATGCATGAAGGTATAAAGATCAGAATCAAATCATTTATTTCCTGTTCTAAACCATACCCTAGAAATAGCTTAAGAAATCTTTCAGAGTGGGGATTTAAGCACATCTCTCCCCAGTGACAACAGTGCGCCAGCACACTTGAAATAACATCCAAATTCATTGCTCTGGTTTAAAAGGCCCTGGGTACCTGGCTTCTGCCTTCCTCTGGAGCCCCAGTTCATGCCAATCTCTCCCTGAGGGGTATATTCCTGCCTCACTGAGGGCCTTTGGTTCTTGAGATGAACCCAGAGCTCTCCACCTGGGGGCTTGGCACCTGCTCTCCTTCTGCCCACAGGCACCTCCCCAGGTCTCTGGCTCTTTTATGCCTTTCAGCTTCAGTGTCAATGTTGGGGTTTGTCAGAGATCCTTCTCTGTGTACCATATCTAAAGGATTGGTACTTCATTTCACTTATAACAGTCTAGAGTTATTTTATTTGCATTTGTTCACTTGCTTATTATCTATCTCTCCCACTGGAAAATAAGCTAAGAGCAGGGTATACCTGGTATGTTTTCCACTGTGCCCCTAGAATCTATCAAAACCACTGCATATAATATGTGCTCTACAAGTATTCGGTGAAGAACAATGAATCTTACCACCCGAAAATAATGACTATTAAACATTTTAGTGTTGATCAATGTTTATATGTGTGTGTCTGTATGTAAGTGCAAAAACAAAACTGATTTATTTCTTCCCTTTCTTTTTAATGGTTGGTTAATAGTTTATTATATGGACATCATTCATTTAAACTCTCTTTTTTACAATCTAATCCAAAAAGAAGGAATTATGAAGGCAATACTCAGCGGGGCTAATTTTGAGAAGTGTCTTTATTCCCCATAGTTTCCCTGACAGGCACGTTTCTCTTAACGCCAAGTCAATCTGTTTAAAGTGCTAATTTTGTCATATTCCTGGATCATGTCTAAAAAGACAGATGGAGGACTCACAAGGGATCCTTGGTTTCTGCAATGCTATCATCTCCTCATGACCTCTCTGTTCCCTGAGCCCACCCTGGGACCTCATATTCTTTTTCCCATAGAACAGGGACTGTGCCATTTTCTGGGGCACAGGAAGCACGACCCACTCTGCCTTGAAGGACTAATCAAGCATCCTTACTTCGGCACTGATGCCCTTGTTCTCTGCTGCTGACCTCATCTGGGGGGAATCTGCCTCTTCCCAGCCCGTGACAGTCAGTCCAGGGCAGCAGACTCGGATCAAGGAAGTCACACCGGTCTTATGGGTTAGCAGGAGCTCAGTATCTGCCAGATCTTCCTCCCGCCCTCTGACTCACGGCATAATAAGAGTCTTAAGGAGAAGATGGTATGTGAGAGCCTTTAACCGCTGGGCAAAGCTAGGGTGTGGGAAAGAGGTCAGTGGATAAAACTGAGGGAGTGTTTGTGTGTGTGTGTGTGTATGCAAAGGAGGGGTTGGGGAGACCTCAGCATTCTGGAGCTGAGAAGTCCCATATTCTGCCCACAGGTTGCCCATTTGGGAGACAGGCATTCATGTATATGGGGGAGGTTCTTTCACTGCCCATCTGAATGATCTCATAAGCTCCAGGTCCACATGACAAGTCTGGGTAACTGTCCAATCCCCACCCAACATAATGAGGATGAGCTCATATCCCATGACACATGGAGAAGCTTTGGCCCCAGCTCTGCCCCAGCCCAAGGATGCCCTGGCTATTTCAGATTTGGAGGCAGAAACTGGCTGGTTTGTCTCCTCCTGAGTGAGGCAACCTATTTGAACTGCTGCTCAGTTGTAGGGGGCAGAAGAAATCAGTCATGGTGATTCACTGTCCTGTGGGGAGGGATGCTGAGGACAGCTCTTAGCAGGTTGCCATAAAGGTCGTGGCAGATGGTCCTGGAAAGTGACTTGGGCCAGAAAATCGTGTATTCTTGTCTTGGATAGCCATGCCTCGTCTGCTTCCTGGTATGGCACTGCCCCATGCTCTGAGGCTGCTAGCCTCCTCTCCTTCTCACAGGCCTCCTCCTCTCCCCAGGGCACTGTCTCCTACATCGGCGGCTCTCGGTCTGCAACGTGCACTAGTTGCCTCCCCATACACAATTTTTTTTTTTTTTGAGATAGAGTCTCACTCTGTCTCCCAGGCTTGAGTGCAGTTGTGCAATCTTGGCTCACTGCAACCTCTGCCTCCCCAATTCAAGCAATTCTTCTGCCTCAGTCTCCTGAGTAGCTGGGACTATAGGCATGCACCAATATGCCCGGCAAATTTTTGTATTTTTAGTAGGGTTGGAGTTTCACTATGTTGGCCAGGCTGGTCTTGAAATCCTGACCTCATGGTCCGCCCTCCTAAGCCTCCCAAAGTGTTGAGATTACAGGCGTGAGCCACCGTGCCCGGCCTTCCCCACAAACTTTGAATCCTCCTCGCCTTTCTCCATTGCTTCCTGGGACTGACCTTGGCTCTTCTCTCACCTTTTGTGTCTGTCTGCTGTTCAAGGAAGGGAGATGAGACCAAGAAAGGGCCAAGAGGGCTGACTCATCCTTTCTGGGCTTCTGGGTGGATCTGTCTGTCCTGACCTGCTTTCCTTTCTTACATCTTCTTATAGCTTTCTCTCCTGGGCCTGTTGGATCACTGGATCTCAGTCACCAGTGCTGGCCTTTGCTCTTGGATCTGAGAGCTGTGGAAGGACAGTCAGCTCTGCTCTTGGTGGCAGCAAGAGGAGCAGAGGCATAAAGGCTATCAGTAGTAGAGAAAAGAGACACTCAGTGTCCCCTTCTCCAACTAAAGGAAATTTCCTCCCCTTTGGGCTCATTGTTGGGGAAATCACATTTTGTACAGTTGATTCTCTGTGCCAGAAGACAGCAGAATGTCTGAGATGGAGGAATCCTCAGAGAATGCATGGGAAATGCCTTACACTGTGCCTGGTGCATAAGAGCTTCTTTATTTATCTAATAATAACTAATAATAATAACTTAAATTCACAATACATAAATTCATAGAAACAAAAGCAAACTGATGGTTGTCAGGAAGTGAGGGGAGGAGAGAATGGGATTTAGCTGCTAAAGGGGATGATGAAAATGTTAT